AGGTGTCTCTATCTTGTCGAACATGTCGAATAGTTATGTTGAGTAAAGCCATCTCATTAATTAAGTATTGAAAGAAAAACTTAGCAAATAGGCTAGTAGTGTGGATGCGAATCTTCTGTAATCAGGGTTCTTTCAGACATTTTTACTTTCTCGTATACGAAGTATAAAGAAAGTATTGTAATCGTTCAAAAAAATAATTGCATATCTCGACGTTTTACACCTCTCTGAGTCGGAAAAAACATAGTTTTTTTGTGTGTGTCTGTATATGTGTCTGTCTCTGTCTGTGTCTGTGTCTGTGTTACTTGTTTTTGCTTTTACAAGAAATGTAATAGTAAACTTGTTGGGCCTTTACTGTGAATTACCTCCCCTGAGAATTTTTTATAATGGGCGATGCTGACGTACATAGGCGTTTTGTTGTCTCTTAAACGTTTTTTCCCGAGTCGACCCCCAACTCAACCCTCTTTCTTAACCCTCACGTATCGAGTAGATAAATGTATCGTTTATGAACTACTTCCTAGCCGTACATTCACTACATCAGCAACCTAGACAGCACTAGTCAGCACATATTAATTTACTTGCATAGTATTAGGTGCATCTAATTCACAAAACAAGGAAGGTGTTATGAAGTCATCAGTATGGTTGGTACATAATTTGATGTCGTTGATGACTGCAGTGAGTTGAGGTATTTAGACAAACTTTGCTAAGAAAATATTTAAGAGAATCAAAGAACTTTGTGATTGGGTGGATATTATTTGGGAGCTGCATTATTCTGGCTTGTATTAGTAGGGGAGAGAAACACTACTTTCTTCAATTACATAGTATATCCGCAGTTGTTTCCCTTTGACTGTACGGACACAATTAAATCAAGTGTATTTCCTCTTCAGTGCTTAATTAAAGAATTTTCTAAGTCTGTCTAACACAATACTAGCTAAAAAATATAGGAGGTTACTTATGTACAGGAGTCGACATTATTTACAAAATGCATTCAACTATTTTGTGATTATGATAATCATAACAAAACAATTTTCAAATTTCTAGTGTCATACTCTAAACGTAACAACTAACACATCACCGCTATCCTCATAGTGGTTGAATTGTTAAAGGAGCTACACAGGTAGATCTATACATCAAGGAAATGTTATTAATAGTTTTTTTTTGTTTTTTATTTTAAATGCGCTGGTCGTATTTTTGTTCACCCTCATGTAGTTTTTAAAAAAAAATGTTCACATCAAGGGCAATAACTATACAAAATAAATTAAATAAATGGGAATCGAACAAGAAATCAAACATACACTATATTTATTAAGATTTTTCATATAATAACGTATAAAATAACACATATATTATACAATTGTGAAATAATTTTAAATCTATAAAAAAATAAATCAGTTTTTGATTTAAATGTAAAAAGCAGAAACCTTAACTTTATTTTATTAATTATTATTTAAGTATTGTTAAAATTGGTCAAATTTAGATGGCTTTCACATACTTAAGATTTTATCTGAGCTTTATATATAAAAAAAAAAAAAATATATATATATATATATATTAGGTATATATATATATTAGAATCCTCTACGATGTCGTATGCAAAAATTACCAGCTAGGAAAGAGGGGTTGCACCCTTGATTGTTCCCTCTGAGTCGAGAGACCTGGAGAGGAGCCACCGGACTACGGTTTGGGTGGTTTAATGAAATTCTGGGCCCAATCTGTTCCAGCAAATTCAACTACAGCAATCCTGAACCTACCTGAGGAAGAGTGCCCAGACCTGTACACAGCAGAAACACCCACTATTCAAGTTCTGATCACCGCTAAAGGACAACCAAACCTGAGGGGCCACATCTTGAGACAACTAATCAGCAACCAGCAGATCCTTCTTCTAAATTATGGCAGAGCAGACACTTGGTTTTTCACCTCTCAAGCCTTTGATGTTACCACGCTACACAACACACACAAAACTCACGGCCCATACACACTGCACTTCACACTACACGAAAAAAACAAGATCAATGGGACCCTTAGATGGGTACCCCCCACACTCAACAACGCCACTCTCATACAAGCATTACGACCCTACAGCAACAAAGAACCATCCATAACTACGATCCCCCACACTAGTAACCGCAGCTTCACTGTATACACCGACAACCCAACAACCATCCCACATTACATTCAACTAAATTACATAAATAAATCACTGAACATCCTTATAGCAGTTGCTGGAAGAAGGCAGGCGTGCCAATTCTGCTCCTCAACTCTTCATTGGACCAACCAATGCCAAGCTTTCAACCCAGAGTTAACGCCCAAGGACCAATCTTCAGCGCAAAATACTGCACCACAAGCTCCATCATCAAGCAAAATCCAAAACCATCCAACCAAGGACGCAGCAAAAGACGCAGAGACAGAAGCAACAGACCCGGATTCAGAAATAGAAACCGCCTCGTCAACAAAAAGGAAATATCAAACGAGTCCCACAGAACAAGAAAAAATAACTAAATCCAAAAAAATCGAGAAACTAATCCACGATCACCTAACATGCAGCTTCTGCCCCAGCTCGTACCAAACAGTTTAGGAAGTACTAAATCACGAAAGAACAGAACACACTTATCTCAAACAATGCAACTTCTGTAATGATGCAAAAATTCACAATGACTTACATCGACACTACACGGAAAAACACAACAGCGAAACCAACTTCAGTTGCTGCTTTTGTAATAAAAACCTCCCAGAAAAAAAGCATTCATCATCACCATTCAAATCTCTTGTCTCAGAAAGAAAGGGCGAGAGAAAGCCACAGTGGCGTAGGCAGGGGGGTTAGGGGGGGTCATAACCCCCCATAGACCCCTCGGTATATAGAAAAAGTATGAGGGGGGGGGGGTGCAAATCGAAAGTTTGAGGGGGGGGGGTGCAAATCGAAAGTTTGAGGGGGGGTGCAAATCGAAAGTTTGTCCCCAGGTAAAAATTGGACCCCCCCTCCTTGAGACGATCCCGGCTACGCCACTGGAAAGCCATAAGGTAAAAGACCAAACTTTAAAATTACCAACGAACGTGTTTTAATACGATTTATACAATGTTCAGTTGACATCATCCCTCAAACTCGCCTCATATGTAGCCTATATATTCAACCATTGTATATAATTAGTGATATATTTATAAATAGGTTTCTTAAATGATTTTGCATTATGTTTTTGATGACAAAATCGTAATAAAAAATTCACGGCACTTTTTGTCAATACATTTTAAGCAAAAAATTATAATCTACATGCATTTAAAGATTCTTAGTAATTTTCAATTACTGCCCTTGTGGAATTTCCATGTATGTCAAGGGAAACAAATTATAATAAATTAAAATTATAGTATAAAAGCACAAAGAAAATAAATGTAACAAGTAGTTTATAATTACTTATACTGAGATATATGGCAAATTTTTACAATTAAGAATCACGACCAAATATAAACATTAAAAACGTATTGGTTTACGGACAATGAATAAATACATTTTTCGAACCATAGTTGTCTACCTTTACAATATCATGATATACGATAAGTTACCTAATTGGTTGATTTAGATAGAGTGTCTAGAGTTCTCTATATTACATATATTTATTACGTGGTTGATATCGCGGTTGTTACATAGACTTTGAACTAAAAATTTTGGAACCCTAAAAATCACGAAAATTTGTTTCAAAAATAAAAAAATATAGCGGTTGTTACTGTTGTCTTTTCTAAATTGATGATTATTTTGCTGTTGTGTGTTTCAGCTGCTGTAACTTGTAGCAGGTAATGTAACTAGGGTATTAGTGTTGTCGGTAACACCTGCTGTGGTGTGTCTGGGTTCGCTAGCTGGCAATGGTTGTCCTCTTGATGTGATCAGGACTTATATTGTAGGCGAGACTGTTGCAGTTGAAAAACATCTGGGCATTCTTCTTCAGGTAGATCTAGAGCTCCTGTTGTTGAATCGGAGAAGGTTTGGGCCAATTGTTTCATTGAGCTACTTGAGCAATAAAGCCACAGGCGAATAAGGATACAGACATCACACCGTTTAAAACGAAACAAGACATCAGTACAAATATGACAGAAGAGAGGAAAACAAACACAGCAAAAATACAATCACCTCAAAGGAAGTGTGCAGGTACTGCCTACTGTCTTCAACAAAGTCAAAGAACAGAGAAAAAAACAGAACATTAAACAGAAGCCACCTGTACAGAGTGCGAAACCAAATTCAAATGTAGCATACTGGCCGGATATCATTCTCTTCTTCATCTTCTTCATTATTAATTTTTGGTGTTGGAAGGGATCGAGCCTTATAGAGGTTTCGAACTCGAAACTTTTTCGAATTTAACAACCATGAGCTTTGCCGACTCCAACACAATTAAGCGTTACGTGTCAACTGGTTATGCGCAAATGAGGCCATTGACTCCGATTTTAGCCTGCTTTTCTTTTTCGATTTGGTTCAACAGCCTTTGTCCAACCGATACCTTTCGAAACTACACACGGTTATCGTATACTACGAATGCGGTTATTGCTAAGCTAACTACCTACCTACAAAATGATGATTATTTTAACATAAAGAAATACACCACCCTCATGAAAGGGTCGATTGCAGAATGGTTGCTTCTTAAATTCTAGTAAAGGTATTTAATACAGAAACGGAGCAAACTATCAATCATGCGCTCCTCCCCCCCCCCCCCTCCCCACTACTCATTTTGATATATAGTTATTTGTATTAGTGAAAAAGCATAATGGCATTCAACCAAAAGATTTCTCTACCAATACAGTACAGTCTCCTTATGTTTTAAAAGGGCACTAATTCAGGTTTCTTTTTTGAGTTTTCAGATACAAATTTTATAATACTATCAATAAATACATGTTAAATTAAAGTTCCTCATTTCATTAAAAAGAAAATTTATTCAAAGAACACATTTCCAAATAAAATATATTTAATTTTAGAATTAATTACTGATTACTGTCAAACTATTTAATTGTTTTAAAATCTGTATACATTTTTTTTACAGTATCTGTATAAACAAACAACTAGCAGCAAAGCTAATTGACATAAAAAGGTAACCACATGTTAAAATATAAAAAATCATGACCATTTTCATTATTAAATACAATGTAAATATCTCCCTGTAGTTTGATTACAATTTTTGAAAAAAGAATATCCTACCCTTCAATACCCTGCGGATAAATCTAGTTTAGGAACTAATATGATTCTTATTCCCAGTTGGATATTGAATAATTCACTCCATAGTACATATTTTTTTTAACTTTTGTTTCGCACTATGCGTAATTCTTCTTAAATTATTTTGTTTCGTATTTTTAAATGGTCCAAAGAGTTAAAGTATAATTATTTGTACTTCAAGATTAGAAAATCTACAATAAAACAGCATTTGAAAAAGAATATTTAGTTCTAAAAAGTTCTATGGAGTGTAAAAATCAAATATTACTTAAAATGGTAAAAAGATTGGAAGATACATACACATGTAAATAGTCACTGGATATTCAAACAGAGTAGCTTCCCTTGATGATTCCAGCTACAGGTGGCAGCGAAACAAACCATTTATATATTTTTTAAAATTATTATTTCATGATAAACTTCAAAGTATTATGGGAATGTTTTCAAAAAAATTATGTGCAGCATTTTTTAAAAACAATTATGTAAAGTAAAAATAAGATAACTTTGTTCTTACATGAGTAAAAAATATTGAAAATCACAAAAACTTTGTACATCAGTCTGATTAAAAATATACTAAATATAAAAATATCACCATTTTGTAAAATTAACAATTGAATATTGCTAAAGCAACAGTAATATCATCTTCAACAATAATTGGTATCTATAGGTTGGTTCCCATCACACATAAGCTGGGGAGGGCAGTGGTTGACCGCTCAGTCCTGCAAGTATGTTGTCCACTGTCAAGTTACACATTGCGTTACGAGTTTCAACAGTTGCACATGCTAGATGCGGGGTGACCAATAAATTCTTCAGGGTCAACAGTTTATGATTTGTAGGAAGGGGCTCTGGTGTTGTCACATCAATGGCAGCAGCACCAATCTGGTGGTTCATCAAGGCTTCGTACAAGGCGTCCTGGTCTACTAAAGCACCACGGGCTACGTTAACAAACACTGCATCATTTTTCATCCTCTTAAAGGCATCAGCATCAAACATACCTCTGTTAGACTTGTTTAGAGAGCATGTCACAAGAACAAAATCTGAGGTCTCCAGTAATTCATGAAAACTAACAAACTTAGCCTTCACTTCTTTAGCTTCAGGTTTATCTCTATTGCCACAGTACAAAATTCTGGCTGGCTCAAAGACAGCTAGACGTTTAGCTGCAGCCATACCAATCCTGCCCAGACCCACGATGCCTATGACAGAACCAGAGACTTGTTTGCCAGCCAGCCATAGAGCATTTTCCCACTTGGTTCCCCACACTCCATTGTGGACACTCTCAATTCCTGCAAGAAACAAGTTTTTACAGTACATGGAATTATGGTCCAAATTTTTTAATTTTAAGTACATTGGATTATGGTACAAGTGTTAAGTACAGCGGATTATGGTCCAAAATTACTTTAATTAGGATGGGATTTTTATATAAATTAAAACTTAAAACCAATTAGACAATAATTCAAACAATTACTGATTAAACTTAACCATGTTAAAGTGTAAACTTATAGGATTATTAAAAAATTATTTAAACTATTGGAGTTATATAAGCAACAGCAATGTCAACATTGTATTATGTGCAAATTTAATCAGATGAAATTAAGTGTTTTTAAGTTTGTTGATCTCAAATATTATGTTGTTAAAATATATAAAATTAAAAAATTAAATAAAGATAAAAATAAGTGAAATTGTAAAAGTTTTAATTACACAGGTGTACAAGAATGTTTATTTTCAATTACGCAAACAAGGCTCAGAGATATTTAGAAAATGGTATTTAGGTTAATGTCAGAAGAGTTGAGTCAAATAAAAAAAGAAACGGAACAAACCCTCCTGGAATCTTCTGGCAGCAGCCAACAAAAGCCCAACCGCCATCTCCGCCACAGCCTTGGTTAATGTATCTGGAACACATCCAACTTGAATTCCCCGTTTTCTACACTCCTCAAGGTCAATGTGCTCAAGGCCAGAGGAGAATGTGCACACAACTTTCAGTGTAGGACCTGGTTCAATGGTAGAGTAGTTTTAGACATGCAGAGTTTACATGATTGATACACCGTTAAAACTCACATAATTACTATTGTGATAGAAACGGCTTTTGAACCTAAATAATTAGTATTGTGATTTAAATATAATTCAACTTGCATAATTTAAATTATGATATATATACACTCACATAATTTGTATGGATGGCGATGGAACAATTTTAAAACATAGACCAGATTGATAGTTTTTATTTTTAACTGCTTGAAAATAAATACAGTTTAGGTCCCTAAGACTAAGCTTTACCACATGACTCAAATGACTGATACAAGATATTAGTTTCCAGGGCACACAAGAGTGGATATCTACAAAAAAAACTATTTACTTTTACAACTTCTTTTAGGGTACTGGTCAGTCAGCAAGATCTAGATAGTTATAAATTTTTACTGGTAAAAGTTAAAAAAAAAAATTAAACCCACCTTCTGGTTTGATCATAGAGCCCTATCATTATCCCTAGTCTTAATATTACCTAAACTAATTTTAAGAATCAGCTATCAAATTGTCATCACCAGTAAACAAATGTGTGAATATGGCTAACTAATGAAATAGATTTAAAAAAAAACTAATTTACTTGCCAGCAATATCAAGAGCCTCCTTATCAATACGGTCCATAGGAGTTATAAATAAAGCATCAAATCCTGGTATAGATTTGAGAAATTCATCACGAGTGATGCGTCTTTCCTCATTTAATATAACAACTTCACAAAATTTCTTTAACCTCTCCAACCCAGCTGGAGGGTGTTTCCTTGGTAGAAAAACTTTGGGTAAATTTGAGTCCATAGTTGTTACAGACCTACAGTAAGCAAAACTGAAGCTAGAATAATATACTATATATATATATATATATATATATATATATATATATATATATATATATATATATATATATATATATATATACTATATAACATTGGTGAAAGAAAATTCTAGGTTTAGGGTTAGTGATAACATCACTAGTAAAACTGAATGCATAACATTCTCACAACTAACAAAAAAATTTTAATCTAGGCCTACAAAGAAAATTTTAAACTTGTAAATTAACGTAAATTGCGACATTGTATTTTTTAAAATTAAAAACCCACCATAGCAGGTAATAAATCACAGCTATAAAGGCCTATGTATATTTATAAAATTAGTAGGCCCTTACCTCTATTTGCTATGATAAATGAGCAATGAAGGAAATGGAACGAAACCAGAGTTGGCCTTATGATCTGACGTATAATTACAATATTGTATATGTAGACTATGATTCATTGATTAGGCCTACAGAAAATAATACTGCTAAAAGTAGGTAAGACGTCATTTTGACTATTTAAATTTGGTTTAGAATTTTCAATTTCGTTTAGGCCTGCTACACTAAACTAACACTGCCAGTAATCTGACAAATTTACAGTGAATTATTATTATTGACAGTCAATTACAAATAGTTAGTGCCTTGCATAATAACACCAACAGACTAACTAACTTAAATCTTAAAATTTAGTCTAGATCTAGAATAATCTAGATCTAATTATTAAATACTAGTTATCCATTAGTTATAAGTATTCCTTAAGTAAGAACAGATATTAGATTCTAGATCTAAACATTTATCAAGCGATTCACTAGACCTAGATCTGTATAAATATAAATATAACTATCAAATTAACTGAAGTTGATTGACTAATCTCAAGTTTTATTGATTTTACAGACTTAGACTTCTTATTACTTCTTGAGTTTACACTTCAGTAATTTACTAATTTTACACTTTTATTTACATTAGTAGTGTCAGTAGCTTACTACACACTACACTGGCTAATGTAGTTAAAAAAGAGGACTAGATTCTAGATCTAGATCTAGTTAATAACAGTGTTTCTTACAGACAGTGGGGGTACTTGAAATTTGGGGGGGGGGGGGGGGGACGACGACACTGCTAAAAGTAAAAGTATAGAATATAATATATTTTCTATCTAAATTATTTCGTTTGGGGGAGGGGGGGGGGTAGGCTCTCTTTGCCCCCCCCCCCCAAAGAGATGCCTGGAAGAAACACTGTTAATAATATTTAATAACCTGAACACAGGACACAGTGTCAGTAAGTGACAGTGTTTCAAGTGTTTGTCCGGCTTGTTGAATGTTGACACATTCAGTAATATGGAAAGTAAAGTTGAATACTAATATAACATAACAGTATACTGTAATAATGTAATAATAAGTAATGTAATACTAATAGTATAGTAATAGTCAGTAAGTTACATCACTTTTGTGGCGTTGTCCGTTACTAGTTTAACTAGGGTTGCCAGGTGGACAGTCCAGTATTTGAGCAGACTGTCCAGGATAAAATAAATATAGATTCTAAATACTGGACAAGTATATGAATAATACTCTGTTACCCCCTTCTGCTTTGCGCGGCATACCTGAGAAGGGAAGGATGGAAAGGTGTCCAGTATTTTCGGAAAAGGTATCTGGCAACCCTAAGTTTAACACATTGACAGTTAGGCTAACTTATTGACATTAACCAGCGTAACTTATAAAGTCATAAAAAGAATAGTTTAAATCTAGATTAGAATGTAAATCTGCATTTGGTTTACAAATTCTACTTGAAATAAACAATGATCTAGCAGTCTCTGGAGGTGTCGGTTCACATAGGGTCAAAGTTTAAAGTTTAGCAATTTATGCTCGTTTACAACTGCCTCTAAAGCAGTGTTACGCCGTATGGTTATCGATTACTACATACTACATTCACAATATTTTATTTAAGCTAGATTTAATCTATAGATGTACTAGATCTATATCATCATGTTCAAATTTACAGCAACAGTTATATAATCTACTCATATGTCATATATAAATACAACTGTGCTCAAATACTACAAAGGTTGATACCGCATTAACTCTTAAACTGGTTTAAAGTTAAAGTAAGTTAGATAACTGTGGCGTAGTGGGAAGACACTACTAAGACTAAGTTACTAGTGTCAGTAAGTAGGCCTACTGGACAACCCAGGGCTTCGAATTTTTGGACTCACACTTTTCCTTTATATCTAGAATAGTGAAAATTGTTGTTGTTTTTTTTTCAACAGCAAAAAAAACAAAAAAAAAACAAAAAAACACATAAATCTTGATCACGACTTAAGTCTTTATTAGTTATCAAAGTTTCTACTTTTGAATTCATGGAGACAATTTAAAAAAAAAAAAAAGTAGTAAATACAATTGAGATTTTGTTCCCCAATCTTTTCTTCTTCTTCTTCGTTCTTAAGTATTAGTGTTGAAGGGGATCGAGATTTATCTGCCAGTGGGTTTGAACTCGAGACTTTGTTCGAATTTTATCAACCATGAGCTTTTTGCCGACTCGACCACGCCTCCAACACAATTAAGCGTTACGTGTCAACTGGTTATGCGCCATTGAGGCCATTGACTCCGATTTCAGCCTGCTTTTCTTTTTAACACGTTTTTCTTAACTCAGCTTCGCGTTTGTGGATTTGTTTGTTTGTTGTTAAAATTGACATCGAAAATTAGCCCACTTCTGATTGCTCTAGAGATCTGAAATTTGGCATGCAGGCTACTTTCGCCTAACAATTTCAGATGCAATCATAAAAACTAGCAATAAGAGACCGTAATTAGCTTAATTTAATTACGCCCCAAGGACCATAAAATTGAGGACATGATTTCTAAAGATACCGACAAGACTGGAGGCCTATTGACACAGTTACTTCGGCCCCAATCGACGTGAGCGCGCTGGCCGTGATCGTATAGTGGTTAGTACTTCGCGTTGTGGCCGCGACAACCCAGGTTCGAATCCTGGTCGCTCAAGATTTTTAGTCCGTGTATTTATAAACACTTAGTCAAGTCATACTTAATCAAGTCATTAGATTAAGTAGAAAATAAACTATATAAAAACTTTTTTAAAAACCACGTTTTTCATGTGTAGCAACGGACTAAAAAGGAGAAAATAAAATACTTTAAAAAAACTTTTAAAAAAACCACGTTTTTCTTGTGGACTAAAAAGTAGAAAATAAATTTTTCTTTTGTGCTTCCTCGAGCTGTGCAGGTTCTTGTGATGACTGACAAAAAACGTGGGTCGGGCAGATGGGTCGGGAAATTTGATGGTGAACGTACCCACGTTTTTTGTCAGTCATCACAAGAACCTGCACAGCTCGAGGAAGCACAAAAGAAAAATTTATTTTCTACTTTTTAGTCCACAAGAAAAACGTGGTTTTTTAAAAAGTTTTTTTAAAGTATTTTATTAACACGTTTTTCTTAACTCAGCTTCGCGTTTGTTTGTTTGTTGTTAAAATTGACATCGAAAATTAGCCCACTTCTGATTGCTCTAGAGATCTGAAATTTGGCATGCAGGCTACTTTCGCCTAACAATTTCAGATGCAATCATAAAAACTAGCAATTAGAGACCGTAATTAGCTTAATTTAATTACGCCCCAAGGACCATAAAATTGAGGACATGATTTCTAAAGATACCGACAAGACTGGAGGCCTATTGACACAGTTACTTCGGCCCCAATCGATGTGAGCGCGCTGGCCGTGATCATATAGTGGTTAGTACTTCGCGTTGTGGCCGCGACAACCCAGGTTCGAATCCTGGTCGCTCAAGATTTTTAGTCCGTGTATTTATAAACACTTAGTCAAGTCATACTTAATCAAGTCATTAGATAAAGTAGAAAATAAACTATATAAAAAACTTTTTTTAAAAACCACGTTTTTCATGTGTAGCAACGGACTAAAAAGGAGAAAATAAAATACTTAAAAAAAACTTTTTAAAAAACCACGTTTTTCTTGTGGACTAAAAAGTAGAAAATAAAATTTTCTTTTGTGCTTCCTCGAGCTGTGCAGATTCTTGTGATGACTGACAAAAAACGTGGGTCGGCAGATGGGTCGGGAAATTTGATGGTGAACGTACCCACGTTTTTTGTCAGTCATCACAAGAACCTGCACAGCTCGAGGAAGCACAAAAGAAAAATTTATTTTCTACTTTTTAGTCCACAAGAAAAACGTGGTTTTTTAAAAAGTTTTTTTTAAAGTATTTTATTGGATTTGCTTCCATAGCCTTTGTCCAACCAAGAACAAACTACAAGGCAGCAGTTGTTTAATTTTGGAGTTGTCTCTCCTAGAAGAGTGGCTGTCCCCAGCTAACGAGCCTCATCTGCCCGAGGTTCGAACTCGAGACTCTTCGGTTTAGCAACCATGAGCTTTTACCGACTCGACCACGCCGAACCCGTTCCCCTATAAAATTACACCATTAGGCCTATCTGTTAGCTAAACAAATGGACTTCAGCTGCTAAAGCTTCAAGTTAGACATTGTTTATTAATAGTGACTTGACTTACTTGATTTATCCTCTTCGCTCCTTGTGCAGAGGCGTAGCGACCCCTCCCGGCGCCCGGGGACAAACTTTCGATTTGCACCCCTTCTCGAACTTTTCATTTGCACCCCCCCCCCCCCCTCAAACTTTCGATTTGCACACCCCCCCCCCCCCCCCTCGAACTTTTCATTTGCACCCCCCCCCCTCAAACTTTCAATTTGCCCCCCCCCCCTAAGGTCGGCGCCCGGGGACATATGCCCCCCCCCCCCGCCCCCCCCCCTCGCTACGAATCTGTCCTTGTGGAACATAGGGTCCCCACCATATCCTTCCATTTTGTCTGATCCCCGGTGTATTAGTATTAGAAAAAAATAGGTCACTGATTTTATGATGAACTTACAAATTTAATAGCAATGTTGCTATAGAATGATCTACCACCTGGCATATTTATTTTTTTACAATATACTCATGTATAATATTTAAAACCACCAAAACTTTGTAAAAG